GGGATGTGAGATGCTGCCCTACCAGAAGCACTGGGGATCAGGGGGCCTCCCTGGCACCCGAGAGGCAGGAGCTGGGGAGGGCTCCCCCTCCCACCCCCTCCCGCCCTGCGCGGTCCTCAGACACGGTTTGCAGGCCTGGGAGCCTCGTGCCAGGCCCCGCGGCTGGTGCAGCACGCTCTCAGCTGCGCTCCCCATGCCCTGTCCTGCTCGGCGAAGCCCCTAACACAGCTACAGCATGGAGGGCGTTTGCCTCAGGCTCTGCTTTCTGGGTAACCCAACTAAGACGACGTCTTGTCTTTGTTATTTTCCTATAGTCCTTGGTGCGCTGGGACTGTCAGGAAAAATCACTTCAGAAATCCAATCCTTAAATATTAATCCTGCCTTTATATGGCTCCTGTCCTAGCTGGTCACGAGGCCCGTCCTACACTCGGTCTTGACCCAGCGCTTTTGTTGGGGGTTTATTCGATTTGGAGTGTTCCCTGAGTAGTGAGCATCATGCAGGCGGGAACCTCCCTCCCGGGACCGTGGGTTCCGTGTGTGGGTACGTGAGGGCCGTGGCCCAGGACAGTCTGCTTCTGTGGGGTTCTGCCTTGCCCCCGTTCAACTCGCTGCTCCAGAGTCCACTGCACGCAGGCCTAGCACCTGCTGCGCGAGAGGAGAGGTTACTTCAGTGCCGTGATTCCAGCTTCCTGGGAGGGTTCTCAGCATTTCCTGGAGATGAACCTGGGATGATATAGAAAGAGATAGTGCTGAGGAAAGTGTTTTAACGGGGCAACGAATTTTCTTTTTCTTTTATTTTTAAAGATTTATTTATTTATGCATACAAGAGCTGGGTGCAGACAAGAGGTGCAGGGTGAGAGGATTCCCCAGAGACAGAGTGGGGAGCAGAATAGGTGGGTCCACTGAGATACACTGCTGAGGGGAGCAGCGGGGAGACAGGAGAGGTCTGCTGCGCCCTGTGAACTCGTGCTGCAGTGGCTGCTGATAGCTTCATAGTGCTGAGACTTAACCCCTGTGCTGCTAGGGAGGCCCTAGTTTTCTTATTTGTGATTGCAAAGGTAAATCTGAGTAGGGTGACCCAGTGGGGTACCCCTCCTCATAGAGGACCTCCTTTCCCTTCAAGAGGTCTTGGGAATGGTAATAGGGATGCTGTTTGAAGAGGAGACACCCTAGGTGGAGGCAGGCAGAGCTGGCAGTTGCTGCAGGGACCCCATCCCAGGTGCCAGGAGGAAGGGCTGCTCTAGGCATTTGGGAGGGCTTGGGAGAAGGCGCTGCATCTGGGGTGGGACATGGTAACCCGGAGGGAGACAGGAGTGTTGATGAACATGGAATGGTGAGGTGTGGGTGGAGCTAGGAGAGGACCTGAGTGAGGACATCTGTGCCAAGTATCACGACAAGGGCCAGATGCAAGAATCCTGGTGAGATTCTCCCGGGAGCAGTCAGGAGAGCTCACAGCTCGGGCTGTTGTTGAAACTGATGCTGATTTTTGCCTCCACTTTTCCCCTCCCCTTCTTAAGCCAAAGGAAAAACAAAATAAGCAAAATCCCACGTGTTTCAACCCCTGTTCCTCTCCGTGGCCTCACCAGCTGACTCTAGATGGGTCTGAAACTTCAAAGCAAATTTCTGCTGATAAAAAGAATCACGTGTCCATGCAGGAAGCTCTAAGACCCTGGGGCTTGATTATCTAGATAATTCTGACAGGCTGTTGGGCTCATCTGCACTAACCCGGCCACCGGCTGTGTGGGGTTCCTGCTGTCGTATAGGCTGATAGACGAAGCCGGAGTGCTGTGCGAGCTGAATAAGCAGCGGTGGCCCCACAGCATCCCTGATCACTTCTGAAATTCCTCGATGGCTTGGCACACCAGCATCTCGTTCAGGGCTTGCTCCGGAGGATAATTTATCTAGTTCAACACTTGACCTGATTTGTTCCAATTAGAATCATCTTCCTGGGGTGTGACTGCTTTTGTCCTGCAGGTAACGTAGGTTCTCAGGAAAACGAGCTCATATTTAAAGTTAGTGAATAGAAGGTTTCTCTCACCTGGGGACAAAGGCAGCCATCGTCCGCGGGGTAGTAAATTCTCTCCCTTCTTGGCAAAGAAACCTTTTCTTATTGGAAAAGGTTCATTACCCCCCACCCTCCATCCACCTATCCCTTCACCCATTTTGGCGTAGCCTAGCTCTGAGTTCTCTTGTTATTTAAACTTTAAATAGATCTCACCAAGTTTCTACAGTTGAGCCCTGGAGTTGGTTTGCCTCTGCTTCTACCACAGCTCAGGCATCCTCAACATTCCAGGCCGGCGGCTGCTCGTGAGGTCGTGTTGGCCTTCCCACGGTGACCTGTTTCACCAGTCCCTGCCCACTCAAGCAGACCCTCAAAAAGGACTCCCCCCATGATACGGGGAGATGGTCAGGTCAGTGGTCAATGACCCAGCCTCTCTGCTAGCTCGGCGTGTTCCAGCTGCGTGACCTCGAACACTTGGCCCCTGTGTGCCGTCGGCTACGATCTGTAGGGTGAGGCTGATGAGAGGGATGGTGGTGTCTACCTCGTCAGGGCCGTGTCAGAATTCAGGGCCTGTCTGGCTTTGGCCAGGGCCTGCTAGGGAGACCGTGACACCCAGTCCAGGCTAGACCCTCTCCACCGCGTGGTTTAAGGACGCTTCTGCCCCCGCGGGACCACTGCTCTGTGCAAAGATGGTTACAGCCTCCGCAGACATCACGAGCAGGTCAGGTTTTGGGTAATCCCCCCACTGCTTTCAGCTCCCCTTAAAATACATCACAAGTTCTCAAAGCACTTTGAAATGAGATGCTTTCAATGATCCTTTTCTGCAGGACTGTTTTCTGATCCGAGACACTATCTTATGACACCTCTTGGCTTCATTTTACCTCCATCAAATAAGACGACACGAAAACCCTGTCTTAGAAACCCTGGAAAAATGACTCCTTTCTTCCCTGGATAGATTTCATTTTGGTTTTTCTCAGGTTTCATAAAGGTAATCTTGGATAGACTGAGGTATTCATGACATTTGAAAGGTGTCGATGCTCAAGGTATTTAAAGACACGTGGGCTGAGCGCGTACCCAGTTCGCGCTCCTATTCCATTTAATTTGACTTTATTCAAACTCTAAACACAGTCCTTTTATGCTGTGGCGCTTCTTCCTGAGCCGCTTGTGAATTATGGCAGCTCTGATGGCGGCTTCCACGCTGCGCGGTGCAGCCCCAACAGCGGCGGCGCCCCTGGCTGGCTTCTCTACCCCGGTCAGACTGTCACCGAGCTCAGGGAACGCATCCGGCTGGTGTTTGAAAAGCTGGGAATCAAAATAAGCTCAGGCCAGAAGGGCAGAGTCATCGCCACTTGCAAATCAGCTGTGTCCAAGGAGCATGATTTGGTTTAAATCAAGAAGCTCTACGCGCCAGGGGGGCGCCCGGGTGGGGGGTGGGGTTGGGGGTGAGGTTGCGGGGGCCTGGAGGGGTGCTTTGGGCTGTGAAGCTGTGACCCTGTAACTAACGGGTTTGCTGAGGCACAGGTGATGTGGGACTCATGTCTGCACCTCCTCCTTTGATGGGGGGCGCATGGGGGGGGCAGCCTAAAAATTCAAAATGTTCCAGGTACACGTGGTGAAGGGACCCACATTTTTGGAAACTTCCCACTGTATCCCCTTTCCTCCCACTTTCTCCCACAGACATGGGTTTCCCTCAGCACCGGGCAGAGGCCCCTGGCCTGGGTGGGCCTTTGCATTCCCGCCCACTCGGGAGTGGGGTGCCAGCGTGTGTCGGGGGGGCTGGTAATAAGCAGGAGACTTGGCTGCCTCTTCCTGGGGTAATCGTGTGCACAGGGTGGTAAACATTGCAGGGGCGGGGGACGGCTCTCTTTGTGGAGGTAATGCTGTATCTCTCATCCTGTTCACCCACGTTAATCAGAAGTAAAAGCAAACGTTTCCCAAGGATCCACTTACTGTTAATCAAGAGCTGACTAGGGATTCGGGGATTTCTCCTGATGACACTGAACACAACTAGGGCCTGATGAATATTTTTATATTGTTTTCAGGCTGAAGTCCTGGACCCACATGCCAATTTTGAGGGCACCCTTTTCCTTCTGTGGGGGGGCACTGGGAATGGTTGCTTCTTGGTCAGGGCTCTGCCCGCCTGTCCAGGACCCCAGAGAGGCAGTGACAGTGGCCGTGCCTGCAAGGCACTGCGCTCTGGACAAGGAAGCCCAAGCTCCAGTGTAGACTGGGCCGCCAGTTAGCCCCGTGACCTTGGACAAAGTCCCCTGCTGGCCGCCTCCTTTTCACCTGAGCGTTAGAGACGTTCCCTTCTCTTCAGGCCCTTCCAACTGCCAGTGGCCAGAAGGTTGGACTCACAAATGACCTTTCTCCACGGACTGACTGAGTGAGGTGCACCATGTCGTGGACAGAGCCAGACGTGCTTTGACGAAGCCTGTGGGTGTGTCCCCGTGGGCACATATTTTACGCAGCTCTTCAGACCTCCCACCTACAGACTCTTGCCCAGATTTTTAGGTCTAATCATAAAATAGTCCTCCTTCTGCTCAACTACTTAGACTTCATAAACAACGGCAAAACCACACATCAACAATGGAAGAAAATTTGACTCTCGACTTAGAGTGTCTTGGTTAATTCCAACCCACTTAAAAACAAACCTTGGGCGTGGCGGTTTGCACGGGAATACAGCGGTGTAATGGCAGAGCCGGGTCCGGCCTTCCCTGGTGGCACAGGCCCCGCTGTCTCCCTCCCATTGGATGAGGTCACGGCCCATCGACAGCGGCTCGTACCCGGTGCTGCTTGGCTCTGGCGAGGGGGTGCCGTGCAGCCTCGGCAGGTCCCCTCGGGTTGCCCCATTCCTGTTCGCATGAGCTCTCGGCTTCAACACCTGAAGTAACGTAGAAGTCGATAGAATGCAGAAGAAATTTGGCACAATAAAGGTGACAAAGGAAATCCTGAGTATATCCGGTAACAATTTCTTTCATTTTTTTCCTGCCCTTAGAGACAAGGCACTGGAGCCACCAACGGGAAAGACAAGACATCGGGCGAAAACGGTAAGGCCGGGAGGAGCCCCTCTGCGGGCTTCGCGCGTCGGCACCTGGGGCAGGGCAGGGTGGGCCCGCCTGCCTTCCAGACCAGCCCGCGCCGCCCACGTGGCCCCCTCCGAGCGCGGAGGTTGACGATGCACTCGGAGCGCCCGGTCTGGGCGGCTAAAGAAAATGGAACCAGCTAAATGCAGAGATGGGAACGCTTTCTTTCCCAAAGGAGGGCTCCCATTTTGGGCAACATGATAATTACAATGCAAATATAGTTCTCTGCTGTCTTCATTAGGGTTGGTGAGAACCATCCGAGTTGTTGTGAGGATAAAATGAGATCAAATGAGATAAGTGCTTTGAAAACTGTGAAGTGCTCAAGTTCTAAAAGGAGGCTTTAAAACCTGCTTCACCCTCCCTCGTCTGCAGAACCCGAGCAGGGCACAGGGAGGGCCGGGTCAGCAGGAGGCGCGGCCTGTTTCCCCGGCGGGACAGATGCCATCAGGGGCCTGAGTGTGAGTGTCTGGTGATGCCCGGCTCCACCTCTGACCCCATGTGGACGGGACACTGAGGCTTGGAGTGGGAGTTGGAGTGTGACCAGAAATGGGACTTTGAGGAAGATGGAACAGGGCAGGGGGCAGCCCTGCTCCCCATCGTTAGCTGTTAGGATGCAGGGTTAAATAATGAAAAATTCCCCTGAGCACTGGGGCTGCAGCTAGGGTGCCGCTGAGGTTAGAGTCTGGTATTCTTATTTTTTGTTAATTGCAAATTATAAAATGCACTCGCCCTTTGTGGAAAACTACTGCCTCTGACTGGATGGAATTTATGTTGGTGCCAACTCATCCATTTGTGGATCATGCCAATCTCAAATACCAGCCACAAATATCCCTTAGGGGCTAGAAAACCACTTTGGATCTCTTGTTGTGGGTCTGAGCTGGGGCCTGAGCAAGGTTCAAGCCCTAGAATGTTCCTCTGCGCTGTGCATGCCCATGGGCAGGGTCATTGTGGTGACCTCTGGGTGAAAAGGTCATCAAATCACTAAACAGTGGGATTGGTGCTGAGAAGGCCCCATGAGATCTAGGGAGGGTGTGGGCTCTTGGCCAGGAGATCGGGAAGTAGAGAACCAAAAAGCATCCGACTTTCCCGACTCAGATTTATACATCCATCTCTCCACTGGAATTCGTCCCATGGAACAGCGCACCCTTGGAATTCTGGGGCTTCATAGCGAAGACTCCTCCCAGGTCCTCTGACATCTTCTGAGTTCTCCAAGTCCTTTCTTTCTGTGCTTGGTTATTCCCAATGGCCCAATTGAATGTTCGCGGTGTGTCTGTTGACGCTTTTCCTATTATAAAACAAAATGGAGATGTTTTTCCAAAGTTTGCTTATCAATTCATTGAAAATAAAGCAATGAACCTACGTCATGTTAACATCAGTAACAACGAAACATGGAAAGTCATTATTTCCAAAACAGAAAAATTATTTAGAGAAAAGAGTGGCAATGTTTTGCCTTTTTTTTTGCAAATCTTTTCAATATCTTGCTTAATAGAAGGCAGCTGTGTCTGCATTTAGTCTGCTATAATATCACATGTCGTGTAACCCCTGGAAAATTCCACTGCACCCTTGGGAGAGAATGAGACTTAAAAGAGTAATGACACCTTAGTGCTATAAGAAAATGAATCTGATCTTAAGGTCTTGCTTAAAGGTGACAGGTACCCCAGGGTACCTGGCCTACGCTTTAAGGCCGCTGGCAGTGCCTTTTAGTGCAAGTCCTCCATGTCTGTACCAGGAGCAAGTGGGTGGTGGCAGAGACAGGACAAGTTCTCCAGTGTTCACATCCCTGCACCCTGGCTTTGCACTGGCGCCCGGTCACCTGTCCCTCAGAGCAGTACTGTGAGTTTGGGCACTGCAACAAGTCAGCTATTCCAGAAAATGCTACTGTCTGCCATTCACAGTCATGGATTTTCTTTCAACCCACTCTAGTGGAAACTTGGAGGTATAAAAGTGAATGAAATGGAAAATTTAAGATGCTATGGATAAAGTTTTTCTTTCTATAATTCTAGATATTAGAGGATTTTCTCCTCTGAGTAGAAAAGGGGATATTTAGAATTAGAGAATATTCAAATTTACAGAATAATGACACTATATAAATTCAAGTTATTAACATGTCAGTCCTTCATTTTAGATAAAACTGCTCATGTAGATGTGCATGATATTTTATTATAATATTAAGTTTGTGCTTCAGTTTCTAAAATCAAACAGAGGTCAATAACAACCCAACCAAGATGTCTAGAAGTGGTTTGAAAGATGTTTTCCTAAACAATTCTAAGTTGCTTAATTCCTTATTCAGAAAATTCGTAATGTAAGATCACTTTGGAATTTCTTCCTTAACCTAATGTGACATCCATTGAAATTCAAATTGGGCTGCTGTCACTCAGATACCTACAGAGGTCTTTTATCTGAATGTATATTTCCCGTTACTACAGAAGAAGCTGCCCACAGGTGTGGAAGGAACAGGAATATGAAATATGGAACTTCAAAATGTTATGAGATTTGCATAGTACTCAATTAACCCTAAATGAACACGCACAGATTTCATCAGTTGTCTCCAAATCAAGGTTTTCTTACCTCCCATATTATGAGTTCAGTTGAGATCTCCACTGAACCCTTAAAGCCTGTGGGAGTGAATCATGAGGGCAGTGAAGTTAGAATTCAGATCACAGAAGACACGAGTCAGATATACAGAAACATCAGAGGATCTGAATCCTTGGGCTGTGCTGGAATTTCCTCATATTAAACATTATCTAAAGAGGGCCATTGGCTGGGAAGCTGGAATCTGGTTTCCTGTAATCCTAGGATTTATTTTGTTGCCATGGCATCATGTTGCCATGATGTGTCCTCTGGTGCTCTCCGGGGCTTCCCGAGACCCTCCCCACTCTCCAGGAAACGGGTGTCTGGATCCACAGCAGGGCCAGTTCGATGTTGCTCATCTCATCTGTGTGGAGACATGTTTTGAAAGAAATTTGGGGGTGATAATTATGTTTTAATTTAAAAAAATGAGTCCATTAGGATCTTGGTGATTTGGAGAGTTTCATTGCTTTCTGAACAAAATACCTTTGTTATTTGACTAGTTAGGACAAGGACTTCATTTGCTTGTTGATATAACAGTCTGCTTGACTGAATAATAGTTTTTACTTATGGTTACAATTCATCTGCTTTGTTAAAATTCAACATGTGTGTAAAGACACACGTGAACATCTGATCTAGAGCCCTCACCACCAGTGACCAGCTTGGACATAACCACAAGCTTTTCTTTTTTGTAAAACACAACTTTCATTGGGTCTCTTGAACTGTGTCTTTGTAATTGTTGTTCAGAGAGATTCCAAGAGTTCAATTCCTTTATTGACATAGAAAGTAGGAAAATGCTGGAAGATGAGTGGCTAGGGGAGACATCCAGTCTAAACGGGGTATTTATGAATCATGATCCCGGGACAATCTTCCTTCCTGGGCTTGTGGATTTACTCAAGCTAAATTGAATTTCTAAAAGTAGAATGGATTTCTCTTGACTTAGTAAGTGGTGACACATTTGTTTCTAAGACTCTGGCTTTGGAGGTGAAGGGCACGTGAACACACCTGGTTTTGATAAAAGAACCCCCTCAGATGGAGCTGTAGCTAAATGCACAAAAAGGAGGTATTATATGAACTGTCCCCAGGGCTCTGGGTTGCAGTTTCTTTGAGGTGTTAGTCCCGTAGCTGAGCAGAGCCTTAGGCAGCATGCACCTGAACAGGTGTGCCTTGCTTATGGGGAGATCAGGATTGAGGTTTCTGATGCATGTGGGGGAACTGCTAGGCCACTTAAGATGTTTACTTTGACATGATTATGTGATTAGGAACAACAAATAAAATCGAATGTCCTTGCACTGGATACTCTATTAAAGATTTTGAATAAAATCAAAATCATAGAGATTTAAGTTCACCTCACCTTTGAATTTTGAGGGAACACAAACACACATACTGCGTTTTCTTGTTTTCCTGATATTAAATAATTGACAGAGAGATAAACTGAGGACCTGAGTAGATATAGAGAAATACATATACATTTATATATAGATACAGATAGATACATGTATACCTGCCTATGAGAGAAATCTGTATCTGCATATTCGCCACATAGGTAAATATATGTATATGCACCATTATTAAACCTGAGTGTGATTTTTCAAATAAGAAACAGAATCAATCTCTATTCCTCAGGCACTTGCACCCGATGACCCCACCCCCACCCTCTTTGTCGAGAGCGCCTAGGAGGTACCAGCATTTTATCTTTTGTGCTCTTGTTGCCCGATGCCCTTCTGAGACCTGCAGCTGACTTGGTGGGTTTTGCTTGGGCTGTGTTTACGCCTTCCCTTTGCTTTGTGGGAGCGCGCGGTGCGAGGTCTGCATGGGAGGGTGGAAGGTGACTGGTGAGGTGACCTGGGAACACAAGGATGGAGCGAGCACTCACATGACACCCCAGGCTGAAGGGGGTTGTGGCCGAGGCAGCGGCTGGCTGCTCTGGCTTCTCTGCGCAGGAAAGTTGGCACACAGCAAGAGGAAGAAACACTACTTCTAAGGCCCCGTGCAGTCCTCACGCCCTGCAGCCACCCACAGTGAGGCTGTCGCTGACTCAGGGAGGGGCTGCGATGTGAGTCTGAGGACAGACAGGGAAGCCTGGGCCTGTAGTGTAGACCTGTGGTATGCCTGAGGCGGGGTGAGGCCTGTGTGTCTACCCTGCGTCCATCTCCCCGGAGGTGTGGCTAGAAACTCACCTGGCTGAGCTACATGTCTTGGGGTGGATGAAAAGAGGACTCAACGTTCAGCTGCGAGAGGTATCGGGAATGTGAAGTTTATACTCCTGCAACCTGCACCTGCCTTTTGGGAAGGTCCCGCCATCAGGTGACCCGCTCTCAGGTGCACAGCTGCTCCCAGACCAGGAGGCTCCAAATCTGCTTCCTGCTGGTGCAAGAAAGGAAGCAGCGCCAACT